AAAAAACCACAGGTAAGTTCAAAAGAACTCTAGCAACACTAGAAGAACAGGCAGCAAAAATACGGCTATGCAACAAGTTGATCACAAGATACAAAATGTAAGAACACAGAGCTCTACCGAACATGACGGAATTATCTGGCAGCATAGTGGAGTGAAGACCAGGCTTTTGTAGACAGGAAGATGAGGTGAGTGAAGACAGGTGTGCCTCATCTGCTGCTGCAGGAGAAGCCAGCCACACCCCCTGACACACACATGCACTGCAGAACAGAAAAGAGGGGAGGGAGAGAGAGCAAACACAAAAACATACCACAGGAACCAAAATCATCACAGTCTCTTGACACATGTCAAGCGCTTGTCTCAGTCACGTGATTCATTACCCCAAAATTACACCTTCATGCTAGTGAAAGTGAGTAACAATAATAGTAAACGTCTTTAGAGAGCCTCTGGTGTCATTGTTGCTCATTACCGCCACCGTCTTTTTGCAGAGAAATAAGCTCAGGGCTCCTACTGATTCAGCGTTATGGTGAGTTGTATTTTTTATGCATTTTACATTTGTTTTCATGTTGGCCGTGTTTATCTGCCACACATTGTTGGCCGGTCCGTGAAAATACTGTCTTAAATGAAACCAGTTCATGGCGCAAAAAAGTTTGGGGACTGCAGGAGTAGTAGTAGTCTATTTGTGGGTGTGTGACTGTACTTCCATCCTGTGCAGTTTGTCACCAGTGTTATGGTGCTGCTGCTAAATTTCTGATGTAGACATATCAGTGATTGAGGGGATGATCGTGATTGAGAACTGGGTTGTGGAACATTTGAATTGAGCTAAACTGGGATGTTGGTCGTGTATTTACCTCTCTCTGAACTGTCAACTGGGTGCACCGTTGGGCTCTTTCCTTACGGCGCACAGCCACTTCTGAGGTGGACTGTGTGGGACAGTCTGTAGACCGAAGTTAAAAATAGAGGGAGTAGCATCTGGTTTCAACCTTTTGCTTCTACGAGTCACCAGTACTCCTGCTTCATCAAAAAACCTTTCCTCCAGGTAGTCTTCAGCTACAAAGTGCTCACAACAAATCCTAGCATTACGAATAACTGGCGGATTCTTCCTTTTGATTGCTGCTAGCCAACATCGGAGAGCAAGTGGTTGTCGTGGAAAATGATGGAAGTGTACAGTCTTCTCCTGGTCTTTCACTCTGTAAAATTCATTTGTGCATCCAGGGGCAATGCAAAACATGCCTCCCTTAACTCCCTTTCCTGCCGGCTGCACTTTCTCTGTCATTTTGAAATCTCTGCTCCTCACTGCGATCGCTAGCTTGACAACCAACCACTCCGCTGACGTCACGTCCGGCGACACAACAGACATGGCGCCGCCCTTTGTTTTGACAGCTGAACTTAAATGACAGGATTTTGAGATTCCTTTCATTTTCAGTGTTTAAACTAAAATTATCTTTATAGGGTGAGAGACCCTCTTTAAATTATGATAACTATGTTTAGTGTTTCGTGTCCTCTTTAAGCAATTAATAGCCCGGGCTACTAATTGGGTTGGTTTCACAGGGGACATGAACCTTGTTTCCTGGGTGACAGCCCTGTGTTCAATCTGCCCCATCCAAACTGACCTCCCTAAGCGGACTTTCTCATTCTTCATTCAATGCACTGATAATGGCATTTTGAACATACTCAGTGTAGCAGGTCCACCTGAACTCATATCTATGGCTCTGATAATCACTACTTATCCCCATTAATGGAGTGGCAACATTTGAACTGGATGGTTTTGACGAGATGTTTTTTAGCTAAAGTCTGCTGGTTTTCTACCCGGAAGTATTTGTAAACAACAAGGTGATTCCCTCCGAAGGGACACGAACAACTCAAAGTACACGTCAAATAAAATTTCTTCAAACATGTTTTTTGTTATTTTAGGTAGTTATTATCACGCTAATGTATGTTCAAGTGTTCATTTCCCCCGATAAGTTGGTTTTAATTCGTTATTTGATTCTATAAACACAGTCTGACCATCTAAAGATTTTAATTTGGTACTTCCGGTGACCGGCAGTGTGAATTTGCATATTAGCTAAATATTTAGTTTCACCCAGAACATTTAGATTTAACAATCAACATTTAGATTTAGATTTAGCATTTAGATTTAACATTTAGATTTAGATGTAGATTTAACATTTAGATTTAGATTTAGATTTAGATTTAATATTTAGATTTAACATTTAGATTTAGCATTTAGATTTAACATTTAGATTTAGATTTAGATTTAGCATTTAGATTTAACATTTAACATTTAGGTGCCACATTTAATATTTAGATTTAACTATTTAATATAACAATTATCATATAATATAACAAATATTGCTGTAAATGTGGTAAAAGGTGACGTTAAAAAATTCACAACACTTTTTTAAACATTGTTTGAAGCTAAATGTGGCAAAATGTTGATGTTATTTAAAGCGTGAGCCACTTTACAAATGGCACCCCATAAAGAAATGCATGGAACAAAAAGACAAGATATCTCTTGTTCTGCTGCATCCATTTCTGTATATAAAATGATAGTCTGTTCATTCAGAGTCTGACAGTGTTACAGGAATGCAAGGTAAAATTGGCGGAGTACTCATTTGAATGCAGGAACATACACAGTTTTAGCTCACAGTGCTTTGCTAACTGCCCATAATGCCCTATTCTGCCGATATGGTCATCTCATGGTTTGATTTCCCTGTGGGTGCTAATAATTGCCTGTGGGTTCCTTAGCTCCCACGCACCTATCATATTGGCACTTTATTTATAGCCTAAAATACATCCACATTAATATAGTGTTTCTGTCTGTGTGAGTAAATGTCATGAAATTGACACTGATCTCCAACATATCTATCTATCCATCTGTCCTTCCATTCTATACACTTAGTATTCTTTGCAGGTTCATGGGTGGCTGGAGTCTATCCCAGCATGCATTGTGGACAGGCTATCACAGAGACAAACACATTCACAGTGATGATAAATTTATTGTTTCCAGTTTGAATGTGGGAGCCACTCAGAGCACATGTAGGGAGCCCCCAAGCACGACCTTAGAAACACAAACTGTCTCTTTAAACCTAACTTTTGTTCCATTAGCGTTTCATAAATCTAAAATCTGATTAAGTTTGTTCACTGAGTCAGATGTGCACTACCTACATTCAACTGACAATCAAAGCAATGTGAACAAAATAAGCAGATATCTGTCATCTGGTGTGTAATCTTAAATCTCTCCTCAGTCTGTTTGGATGTGTAGTGTGTCTTCAGCCTAACCAGATTATCTGTCCACGGTAGCGATGTGTGCTGCTCTCTTCTGTTGCAGCCAATTCATTCTAACTGTGTCACACTACCAAATTACTGTACAACACATTTACCCTGGGGAGTCACACACACACAAATATACACAAACTTGACAAACACATGAGATAGTACGATAAAGCCAATACACAGGCAGCCGTTGTTATCAGACGAGACAAGGAAAAGGAAAGCAAAATCCCAATCATAACTACATCTCCTCTCTCTGTGCACTCTGTCCCATACATCAAGAATAAGTTGTGTACTATACAATTAGTGTACTGTGTTGTAAAAACTTTTTTTTTTTCATTTCTAAGGCATCAACTTCTCAAGAACTTAAAAAAACACAGCCTGGTTTAAAGCTCGACCTCCATGCATTTGTGAGTTTATCCACAGTGGTTCTTTTCAGTTTTTCATAAGCCCCATGGGCTTCTTTCAGCCCATAATGGGACAATTCAGCCCCTCAGCAGACTCATAAAATGACAGCTGAGCTGCTCTACATTTGTCTCAGTATGTAGAGTGCGACCTCACACACAGCAGACCGGCTCAATTAAGCAGAGATACTTTAGCTGGCGGGTTATCAAAAAGAGAAAGTGCTTGTAGCCACTGATAATGTCTTGGGAGGTCTCAAGTCAAAGATACTGCTCGCCTAATCCAAAACTGGAGAGATTAGACTTTCATAGATATGTCTGTTGAGTCTTTGGACGCAGGAATGGATGGACGGGTAAAAAGACAGCCAGAGCTTTAAAGGGGCACTCCACAGATTTTACATAATCAGATCACTGGATGTGTAATGGGTGTGCTTGTCATGAGGATCAGGTATTTTTGAGCACAAATGAGCAAGGTGATTACCCAATATCCTGCTAGCTGGAGGGGCACCAAAGAAGAGGAAGACTTTTTTGTGATGCCCAATATTTTTTTAAAAGTCTGTCCAATGTCAAGAGGGCCCATTTGCACATTGGGAAAGATTATGGGCTCTAGTTTCGCAGACCGGGCGAGGCAGGGGCACAACGCACCTGTGCTTAGCCAACTGGGTGTTGCCAGGCGGATTTTGGAAGTTTGGCACACCGTGTGCGCTGGCGCAGCTACTCTTCTTTCCCACCTCCGTCCCTCTTACCGGCGCAAGTCGGAAAGAGGGAGGAGAGAAGGCGTGGAGTGGGTTTTACACACATCACACTAATCAAATGAGCCCCTCTCCTCGCCCTTAAATGCGTCGCGCGAAGGCGTAATGAGAGTTTACTCAATTCGCCATGGCAGAAGAGAGCAGCAGCATCAGACGGCCAAACTTCTCCCAGGAGGAAACTGATGTTTTGGTCCGGGAGGTCCAAGCTCGCAGTGTCCGAATATATGGAAATGCTAGCAGACCTCCACGGGCTGATGATGCAAAGGTAGCCTGGGAGGAGGTCACCACAATTGTAAATCAATGTTGCGTTTCTCTCGTGCGCGCGCGCTCTCTCTTTCTCTCTCGCAGTCTCACTCTGTTTCTTTTCTTTTGACTTTTCTAAGATGACAGATGCTGAATATATACTCCCTATCTGATGCTGTGGCTGTTTGTGGTTGGCTGAGAGGGATGTGAACTCATTAGTTTGCAGCTGTGTTAATCAAATCAGGTTGGGTTTCCATCACGCGTGCCAAACGTGCCAAACGGTGCCTTTGATCTGACATCAGATGTGACAGGACCGTCGATATAGAGATACATTTATTTAGATAGTTGCATTGAATAGTGGTTTGTGGCTGTTTAGTGCATTGTTAATGTGCCTGATATTCCTGAAACCTGCCTGTGAGGTTTTGGTGACGTGTGCGCACTGTCCGCCGGTCAGCCAAACTTCGGCTTACACCGGCTGTGCTCCGCCTGTGCTGACAGTAGACCTGGTTTCAGCTGGCGAGCTTTTAGCGCACCTTCGGCGAAGCCTTTTGGCACGAAACTGTCACTGTGCCAAGCTGGATCTGTCGACACCTCCCCCTGCTGCACTGCCACACCCATCTCAGCGCACCTCGGTCTGCCAAACTACCAAACTGAGCGCGCCTCAGGTTGCGCTGCTCGAAACTAGCTCTGCGCGGGGTTCACCACCCTGCGCAGCACCGGGAAACTAGAGCCCTATATTGTAAATTAAGATACCTTTTATTGCCAAAGACTTTTCTGAGGGGTTCATTTTTTATTGTTTTATTTCAAATGAAAGTTGGTTGTCTTTAA